TTATATACTTGGTACTTTTTAAGTAAATTTTTGTAAAGTGGCAAATGTCACAAATAGGCTGACCCAGAACTAGTATGATGTTATAGAATACGAGATGTCGCTCGCGACTCCGTCCGCGCGGTATTAAAACAACTACTATGTGTTCTTCTAGACAATGTTCTACACCTATGCCAAATTTTAGCGAGATCCATGCCATCGCCATCCATCCATCCAAACGTTCAGATTTATAATATTAGTAAGATGGTAATATTAAGTTCTTTCTGCTATATTTATTTTTTAATGTCTGCCTTCAAATCATGTTTTTGTTAACGATACTTTCACAAACCTTCAAACACCCACATATCAATGTGACCATTTAAGGCAAATCTTATAGTCACGTAAGAATAATCGAAACTACAAAATGCTCAGGAATTTTAAAATGATAATCTTGTTCATTTTTAAAAAAAGGATCTTGACAGGCAGACGGACGGACAACAAAGTAAGGGATAAGGGTTCCGTTTTTTTCCTTTCGAGGTACGGAACCCTAAAAGTTGATCCGATAAAGGCGTAGGCAAGGACTTGTTAAGAATATTATAAATGCGAATTTTTAGATGGATGGATGTTTGTTTGAAGGTATCTCCCGAACGGCTTAACGGATTTTGATGAAATTTGGCACAGATGTAGAACATAGTCTAAAAAACACATAGGCTACTTATTTTTTTAATTCCACGCGGAAGAATCTCGGGCGACAGCTAGTAAATAATAAAACAGATTATATTAAATGGAAGAGAATTTCAGGACTAAAATATATTTTTAATTATTTTTTTACATAAACATTTTGTACCGTTTAATTTGCAGCTGTTATTTCTTATAAATCATGTCTTTTTTTTTATGAGAGATGCCAATATGTTTTTGTAAGTGTTTTGTTAATGGAAACTCTTAACTATAAATAAACTAATTTACATCTTCCCTACACCAGTTATCTGGTCACTTTGATGTTGACTCTTCAGATCTGAATATAGAAAATATTGAATCAAAAGACTCCGGAACTTGTGTTGCGGTATCTTCATATAATAAGGTATTTTTATATCTTCCTAATAGATCTATCTTTGATGTTTTATATTTCAATAGCCTAAAGAGATACGTTCATTTTAAGAAAGAGGATAGAACAGAGAGAGATTGGTACTTGGTATATATTACTATTATAATATTAGAAAAGATTGGAAGAATAGATGTTTGTTTGAATGTATCTCCAATACGGCTTTATAGATCTCGCTGAAATTTGACATAGATGTAGAACATAGTCTGGAAGAACACATAGGCTACTTATTAAGTTTTTTTTTAACTAATAAATCATATGTTCCATAATAAGTGTCTTAATTAAAAATCAAAACTTAACAACACGAAAGAGACTGTTTGAACCAATCCGGTAATAATAACGAAATAACGGCCCGAGCCGAGGTTCCTGAGGGAGCCCTCGAGCTTAGTTACTCTTAAACGAGGTTTAGGCTAAGTGCCATCTGCGCTCGGCCACCTCAAGCCCGGTGAAGCTGTAAATGCCTCCTCAAGGCAAACAGTGGCAATCAGTGACAAAAAAAAGAGACTGTTTGAATATAATCTCAAAAAGCAGTTAGATATATCAAAGCATCGGATATAGATCTAGATTTAAATAGATAATAGCAAAACTAATAATGAAATTAACCGGTTTTATGTGAATCAAACAGGTCTTATGATTTCATCAAGTTCAATATAGAAATAATTATGAACTCTATACTAATAGGTATAAGAGTAGTAATTGCATGCAATTTTTATTTAATAATTCGAAGTATTGACCATTGCAGTAACTATATTTGCAACACGTTTCATGTTTGATCAACATCAGTTGATTCTATTTACAAATCTTAAACAGATAAGCTTCTATAAGCGAGAGTCATTGTCTAGTCCTGACGGACGACCTCTATAAGCAAAAATTCGGTAAGAGAGAAACCTTTATAAGCGAGAAAGATATCGGGATCCGTTGGACTCTTGCTTACCCAGGTCCAATAGTATTTAAATAATCCTTTTATCAACCTAATCTTTTAAATTGACTTATAAACTTTTCACGACATGTTTCAATTTCCAAGACCTCAAAAAATTGTCAGAGTCTAGTACCCTGTCTGTTCCTACAACTACTAAAATACTACAATAATGCTGTCATAAATATTGTCATGCTGTGTTCTAAAATGGAAACTATATTTGCTGTAAATCCATCTTTGAAGTTACTTTGAAAATGTCTTTAGTTAACTAACTTGACACTAATTAATCATTACTTTGACACGGTGTCAGACGATCACTCGCCGCTTCGAAGTACAAGTCACGTCTTTTTACTGTCGTGTGGTTAATATTCATATCGTGAACTTTGTCAGTTTGTTAGATGCATTTGAAATGTAAGATAATAATAACAACGTTTTAAATGTTAATAGATTTTGTAAAGGCGTTTGATATAGTTAGCTATTGTTTTTAGCTTTTAATTCTAAACAATGTTATGTAATTCATTTAATTAATGGTTTAATTTGAATGTATTTACCTAAGAATTACCTAATTTATGATGAAATTTTATAAAGATTTGTTTAAATTGAAAAAAAGATATGGTATACCACAGGGGTCTAAAGTGTGACCCATTTTTTTCGCTCATAAATTCTTTATCTTTTATCACAAATTTTTATTGATTAAACATTTCTCAAGTTTCCAACAAAGTTAAGGACAAACTAGTAACTTAGTTCTTTACTGTATAACTCCATATTAGTACTCGTATAAATCAAATTATAAATAGGTACTATTTCTATTGTAACTTATTTTACCAAACAGGGCATTTGGATAATTGTTTGGCCTCATTTAGCAAATGGTATATTACTAGAGGTATATTTTAATCTTTTTATATTTAATAGTATAATAGTTGCCTGTGAATTCGTCCTCGAGGAATTAAAAAAAATGTCCTATGTCCAAAAGTGAAAGAAGTTTTCAAATCGGTTCAGTAATCTTTCCTCATTATAAGATTAGTGTAAATATCTTTGTTTCTTTTTGGCAAAATTTTATTCCTTTGGCTTTGAAATATGTAGAGCATTCGTTTTGACTTTGATTATTTATGTAAATTTAATTTGTTGGCTTCACATAATTTACATACAAAAAGCTGACGACACTTCGTTATTTAGTCACCTGATAGTGTTCAATATAAATGTAAAGAAACAGTTTGTAAAAACTTAAATACCCTACTAATTACGTGACAATAATTAAGTTGCTGTGCATTTTAAGAGACAAAGGCTTAAGGGATAATTCCACTGATTTAAAGTACGTCTAACACAAGTTGGTGTTTGTAGATATAAAGATCATTCATATTAAACAAGACAATATCTCTCGTCGGTAAATAAGACCGTCGTAGCCATGACACAGTCTCTGTCACTACCAGATTTGGTAAGCGAGGACTTCAGCTGTACAAATACTTTACATATTCCAATGTCGACTTAAAGCTCACTAACACATAAACACACTACTTACACGCACACACATATCAATTACTTTTTGAATGTCAAATGTTTTAACGTCGATCATAACTATCTTATAACAAACTAGCTGTCGCCCGCAGCTCCGTCTGCACTATTAAAAAAACAACTATTTAGTGTGTAGTACTACGTGTTCTTCCAGACTGTGTTCTACACCTATGCCAAATTTCAGCGAGATTCATACAGCCGCTCTCAAGATACCTTCAAACAAACATCCATCCATCCATCCAAACATTCGCATTTATAATATTAGTAAGATGAGTGGGATATGGGTAGCTACAAGAGAAAGACCAAAAGAAAGTATAGTTGGATTGTGTGAAAGAGGACATGCGTAAGAAGAGGTGGATTCAGATGTGACGGCTGATAGAGATGTATGGAGGAGTAGTACATACTGTGCCGACCCTCCGTAGGGATAAGGGCAGGATGATGATGATGGTGAAGCCTTAGTAGTCGGCGCAGATTTTTCATCATCATCGATCCTCATTCCTACCGTGTTAATCATAAAATTTGTTCAAGTTTAAGAAATCTAGAGTTATGCTACAAAGTGACAGTAACGAGATAAGCTCCCAATTTAAACGTTGAAACCGGCTCCATAACGTAAGCGTGGGTCGTAAGATTCGAATTGCAACATTTTAACTGACCACAAATGCCTCATTCACAGATTTGCTAGGGTTATCGAATGACTGAGAAAAGATTAAAGGAAAAGCAAATCACATCTAATTAGACCATTAATTTTGGTACCTAAGTCTGGTTTCTTGAAAGATGCTTAATTATTTCATACAAATCGTAAAATATAAATTATAGACTGTTTCTTGATAACTAGAAGATGAAGATTTTCGTATTCGTAATTTGAAAATTATTTTAATTAATCTTTGGATCAGCCCTAACGATGCGAATATTCCTAACAAATGTCATCATCAGCTCACTATACGTCCCCACTGAGGGGCTCAGAGCCTACCCTAAGTACCCTACCCTATACCAAGGGTGATTAGGCCATAGTCAACCACGCTGGTCCAGTGCGGGTTTGTTGACTTCACAGATATCTTTGAATTTCTTCTCAGATATGTGCAGGTTGCATCACTATGTTGATTGCAAGTCAAGTGCTTGACTACTGAGCCACCGACGCTCCAAACACGAACGACGAACAAATGCTAATTTCTCAAGGGATTGTAAACTTTATTTACTAATGTTTAAGATGCAAAATAACATCAGATTTGTTGCGAAGGCGTAAGGTGTTTAAACTAACTTTATTTAGTGGGTACTAAGGAACGATTAATGTGGGCGATTTATTGACTGTGGAAAGAATTAGGTTATGTTCAGAACAAATTAACGTGTTTCTTACATGTAAACTGTTAGTTTGGATTTGTGAAAACATAGAGCTTTGAAGTAATAGAGAGACTCTTTTGGGACTTTCGTAGTTTTAACTGAGTTTAAAGCAAAATTCTAAGAATTGTCAATGATAGATGTTTTTGTTTGTTCCAGGTAGAATAAGGCATTAAGATGACGACGAAATCGTACAGCAAACACAAGGAGTACAAGGAGATATCCAGCAGAGGCACTGTGCCATACACTGACGAACAATTCGGTAAAGTATCAAGATTATTACATCCTTATACGATAACTTAAAATACAATTACTAATCTACTCATTTTGACTCGTGTGCTGATCCATCATTTTATACGCAAACTTGCAATAAAGCAAACCTGACCTTAAAAATTATGACGGTACTTTCAAAAAGTTCTATAGAAAATATTAAAGTACCTCAAACCATTCCTTAAAAAATAAGAAAATATTTGTTAATCACAAATGTTAGTCATCAAATAAATTCAACTTATATACTCAATTACAGACATGATGAAATCCGAGCTCCTACCCAAAGGCAGTAAACTGGACTCGTTGGGCCGCGGTACTGGCACCCGGGAGTACCACTACGAGTACAAAGAAGAGAAGCTTCCAGGTGGAAAGTACGATCGAAAGGATTACCATACTGTTGAGGTAAGTTCAGACATAACCTAACATAACCTAACACATAGTACAAATAGACAATAATATGTACAGTTTCTAAAATAAATATCTAATAAAATATTATAATGAAAGCTTTACCTACCTAAAATACTTTATAATTTTAGTTAAGATGACCTCCATTGCTCCCGTTGATCCTGGACCTCTTTCCACACATAGACTACGTTGGGAACTACTCTTTTAGTAAATCGCCATTTTTTTATCTCACTAATAACTAAAGTCTTTCTCTATTCCAGGAGTACACGATTCCTGCAAGAAGTTTGCCGAAGTCTTCAGAAAGCAGCTCCTATTACTACGAGAAAGAAGAGAGGGATATACCAGCCATTACCACTGGTACTAGGACATATAATTATGAAACAACGGGCACCTCTCCTGGTAAATATTTATTTTATTTCTACTTCTATTCATAGTAGAAGGTGACTAAAAACTAGTGAAAGATTTCCCATGACTTCTTCTATAAGTATTAAGAAAAAAAACTGTGTTAGTTTGTTGCAGATTTATTGAGTTACTAGCTCTCGCTCGTCACTCTGTCCGCTAAAGATTTAAAACAAAGTGAAAAGCCTTTGTGTTCTTCCAGACTATGTTCAACATCTGTGCCAAATTTCAGTGAGATACATGCAACCGTTCTGGAGATATTTTTAAAAAATCCATCCAAACTTTCGCATAATATTATAATAGTAAGATAAGAGAAACAAACAACTCTACCCACTTGACAATTTTTGTACAGTCTTAACTTTTTGATAGGCTATATTTTATTCCACACTAACTTAAATATTCCTATTTGGTTCATTATCGTCTTCCAAATTTCGTCCAGATCGGTTCAGCTACTGTTTACTTGATTACTAATATTAAAATATCTTTTTTGTTCAAGGTTACTCCAAAGTAAATACTAAAGTGACAAAGGAGATGTCTCAGAACGTCGAGGAGTTGGATTCTCTTCTGGATGACTTGCAGAAGGATCAAGAACGTCAATTATATAAGAGTGAGGACATTTTAATTACATATAAACAATACTAGCTCTCGCCCGCAACTCCGTACAAAAAAAAAACTTAATTTATAGCCTACGTGTTCTTCTAGACTATGTTCTACATCTATGACAAATTTCACTCTTAGCCCTTCTGTAGATACCTCCTAACAAACATTCATCCATCCAACCATTCGCATTTATAATATTAGTAAAATAACTTTGTAATTTTTAAATCTACCCACTACACAGATGGTTTCTGAGATAAAAATCTCTGTAAAAACATATCGTCACCCTTTTCATTTGACAAAACAGAGAAAACAATATGTTTTAAACGGGAATTTTGGTCTCAAAAACCCATGGTTAGTTTTCATGTTGGACAGAAGAGTTATTTTGTTCTTGATTTACCAAATAACATCTTGGATCTTATAACATTCCTCGTTAGACTCATCATCAGCTCACTATACGTCCCCACTGAGGGACTTGGAGCCTAGCAACTATTTGACTATTGCCTAGTCTTTGGGGTGACTAGGCAATAGTCAAGCAGTCATTTGACTTAGTCATAAATTATTATTTTATTTCAATTTCATAGCAACATGCATTGAATCGTTAACCCGATAACAATAAACTTTATTTGAATTTCTTACAAAAGCAATTTGCTTACAAAATAAAACCCTGTAAAACATAACAAGCAAGCAAGATATGACGATATACTGTCAGAAAGAATTTGACGGTAGTATCAAAAAATATAGTTGGAACAGCGATTGAGAAGTTTATAAATTTACGCACCTAAAAAAACTAATTATTTCGTAAATATACGGTGTTTTTGTTCCTTTACAATTTTGTATGAGTAAGATTTTTTTTAATTTCAGGTGGTTATACATCGGATACCGCTGAGAGTAGCTCATTTGACTACAGGCGTGGGTAAGTGAAGATTTTTGACTAAAATTTACAAACTCGATCAATGCAAGGATTTCATTTACTAACTGTTGATTTCTGAGACCAGAATCTCCTTTTTAAACATATCATGATCGTCTGCATTTGAGCGCCGCGCAGGGACTTGTGGCCTCACGAAGTTTTTTTTAAATATTATATCTACGGAACATAGCTTCTAATTGAACCCTTAACGAGATATATTTTGAAGATTCGACATGACGTATCTATTTCCAGCAAAAAGGTTTTAGTGATTTTTCTCTTTCTACTTTTTCTATTTCTACTATAGCGATTAAAGTCTTACTTCTATAAGAATCCAAGAATAAATGCTTATAATTTTTTTTCTATCTACCGTCAGTACTCCAGTGAAGGCACCGCCCTCTAGCGGGTACTCCACGTTGAAACACGAGGAGCGCGTGGAGAGCTCCTCGTGGGGCTCCAGTCCTGCCCCCGCGCCCACACTCACACGTGCCGCTGAGCTCCGCCAACAGATGTACAGGGAGGAGAAAACCGGTATGTTCTGATGGGCAACTAAAATAGGAATCTACAATAAGAATCGCCTCTTTTCCCTCCACATCTTAACCCGATTAAAGACCTGGATCTCTTCTCTTTCAATAAATGTATTACTTATTATAATTTTAATTCTTATTAATATTATAAATACTAATGTTCAGATGGATGGATGTTTGTTTTAAGGCATCTGTAAAACATCACAACGGGTGTTGATGAAATTTGGTATATATGTAGAAGGTAGCCTGGAAGGACACATAGGTCACGTCGCGGGCGATAGTGTTTAATATATTTGACTTTTAAAACTACCGTCAAAGCAAGCCCGAATCCAGTAAAGCCAGATGTAAATTTATTTTCAGCATTTCGTCTAATTTTATCTAATTCATTGTTCCTTTTGCAGAGTCCCGCGTGGTGCCGGCCGTAGTGCCCGCGCCTGTCGCCCTGCCCGTGCCGCCCGCAGTGTGCACGCACTGCCATCAATCCCCCGGCACCACCGGCACTGTGAGTACACGTACACCCCATACAATTCCACATCAGGGAAAATATCCAAGACATGACAACATAACTCACGCCCACAACCCAGAAGGGTAGGCAGAGAGTACAGACCTACATTTGACGCGATCCTCACACAACTCTCTCGCTTCTTCTGCATTAACATCTACACATAACGACAAAAATACATAACTACACTACAAAGACTATTTAAAAATCTTACTCAAAAACAACTTTAATATGTTATTGTGAAATTCTACTATAGAAATACTTGTATTAAAATATATTGTTGTCTCTATTTTGTCGCTTCATATGAGAGGGATAGCACTACTTTTAAATACAAGCTATACGACAATGGAATCTCAACTTTAATTCCGTGTTGCACAGTTGCCACGCGGCGGTACACCAATGAACAAGGTGACTACAACAGTGAAGACCTACACTTACGAGGTCCCCGCAGACACGGACCCGGCCAGTGTGCCCATACCAACACACGCCGACACACACACTTATGTGTGTAATGACACACATCGCACGTAAGTACTGTACTAACTTCCGACTCGAAGGACCAAAAGTATTAATTTACTTAACATATTTCCAGAAGGCTAATGGTAAAAATCCGGCTCGAAGGATCAGAACATCTGACTCGAAGGACCGATCCGAAGGATGTGCGATTATAATTTAAAATGGCGTCTCTCATTATTTTGTCAGTGTTCGATAATCAAATATTAAATTGATTTTCATATATCTTGTATCAGGGCAACACTGACTCGTCCAGTAGATGGTTCTCCAGCGCCGGGCGGCTGCCAGTACTGCTCGCACTGCAACTCTCGCCTGCACTACAGCCGCACACATCTCTCCACTGACGGTCAGTTTGTAAACTGACAGCATTACAACAACTACAATTATTAGTGGCTTGAGTTATAA